CCCATCAACCCTACCCAGGCAGAACAGGGACTGCCATGGTGGGTGTAGACCTTGTCCTATCCCATCAACCCTACCCAGGCAGAACAGGGACTACCATGGTGGGTATAGACCTTCTCCTATCCCATCAACCCTACCCAAACTCATTGGACTTTGACAGATCTCAAGGGATATAATGGATGTGAAAATATCTTGCCTTTGACTTTCGGGTTGGATAGCTACGAAAGTAATCAAGGTGGATTTCTTCTAGCACAGATAAAGTTCACAAGCACAGTAGACTTGAAATCTGTAAATTGTGAAAAGGAATTACTCTTGTCACGTCATGACTTGTTAGGTGGGTCATATATTTGTTGAAATAAGGTTACGGAATAGGGAGATGTATTTGGGTTCTCTAAATGTGCTTGTCCAAGTGAACTTCAATTATTGTGTCTTTTCTGTAATGTTTCTGTAGCAACCGTTAGGCCAAGGGGGTCAGCTTCAAGCACGGCAGTTTGCAGCCGCTGTCAACCAGCAGCAGCAACAACAGCAACAACAACAACAACAGCAGGTGGGATTACCCACAATGCCTGGCAGCATACCTGGCTCCACCAACATCTCCACCATAGGCATGTCCAGTGTTCCCGTAGCAACCGCATCCATGGGTGGTATGAGTACCGCAGGGGGTAGCGGTGGTAATGGGAATGCTGCGATGCAGGGAAATGCAGTTGCTGTTGCCCAGCAGCAGCAGCAACAGCGAGCACAGCAGCAGGTAACATCTAAGACCTGTAGACAATTTCCAAACAATTCCCAAACTTAGTTCTTATTCCCTTAGATCTGGATACAGTGTGTGGCACAAGCTGTAGATGTTACAATGACACTCATCAATTCTGCATGATTTCATCTCTCTTTCTGTTCAGCGTTTCTTGGAAATGGCTAAAACTCGGGATCTCCATATGAAGAAACAACAGCAACTGCAGTTAGCACAGAAGATTCAACAGCAGCAGCAACAACTACAGCAACAGCAACAACTCCAGCAACAACAGCAGCAACAAAGGTAACGTCTGAAATTAGGTCGTGATCCGAAAAGATCAATGAACTCATGTACCTGTGTGGTACAACCTGTGCTCAGTTGTGAATATGTGTTCCCAAAGGTTAGATTGAAACCCCAGACCTATAAACCTGAGCTCCTGTGTTGTACCAAGTGAAGTGGCAAATCATATTTTAGCTTCTGATCACATCATCTTATTGCTTTTCTGACAACAGCTGAGCTATGCAATGCATCATGATCACATGATAACCGTTTTCTTAAGTGGCAGGTTTTTTAATGTTTGCTTCATTTTCTCTGCTCCGTTAAATTGTGTAGGTTACAACAGCAGCAGCAGCAGCAGCAGCCAGTCCAACCACAACAACAGCAACAGCGCCCTCAGTTGCCCCCACCTGGCCAGGCAGTGGTGCCATCGGGGGCTTCCCCTGCCCAGAGCCAGCAGCTGCCTACCAATAACCCTCAGCTCAGACATCTTCTCATGAACCAACCCCCGGTGAGACCACATTGGGTTCCTGAATTACTTGTCTCCAATGTTAGCACACACCCACTCCACTCACAAGGTGCTGGGACGGGCAAACTACCCTTTACAGAAAGTATATCATAGTTTAGAGATATTGGAAGCATTGTGGGACACCTGCTAGCCCAATCCAAGTCTGCACATTCAGCACCAGTTTTTTAGTGGAGTACTTTTTGAGTACCAAGTTCTCTGCCAAATATTGAACTAGTTAGGAGGATACAAAGCTGAAGAACAAGGACATTGGATGGTATATGCACAAAGATAAGATGACTTCAGACTATTGATTTTTAAATAGAACTTAAGTTTCAAGGTCAAAAGTGCTCAAAAAGTACTCAACAGAGTACTTTCTGAGTAATTTTCTTCTTAAAACTTAGACTTAAACTCTGAGTGTCTGAAGTTATATATTTAGTACACGTATTCAACCACAACACTGTACACCGGTGCACACATGCAGACATATTGACTTGTGTCATGTACATATCAAACTCGCCAATGAGTGCTGGACATAAAAAGATCATGCTCTTAGAAATAGCTGCCCTTCCCAGCACCCTTTCCCTGTAAGGACAATAACTAGATTACCCTGGAACTTTGTTTCAAGAGGAAAGGATATGGAAATGTCCTGGAAATCAAGATCACGTAAGGGTTATTTTTGGATGCGTCCTATAATAGAGAATATGACAAACTTACAAGCTAAATCGTTGTTTGCATGGCAGTGGCTGTGGCAATCCTCCAGTTCTTAGCCACATCCTGCTGGGGGCTTAGAACCACTTCGCACCGGTGGCATTTATCAATGTTGATGATCCTGGGACGGGATAATTATCAATTTTTTTCTGTTTTCAAAATTCTTTAAAAAATTATATCTTCATTTACTGGACACTTACACCCACAAAAAGGACCGTCTGGTTTCTACTCTAATCTGACAGACAACATCTATTGACGCTGGAGTATTTCAGCCAGGCCTGCCACCTTGTAAAAAGAGCCCAGATTCTAGGGTGTTACGTAATTTTCTTTTGTTCACGAACCTGGCACAGTGCACAGCTGACCTCGTTTCAATAGGGGCCAGATTAGCGTGCAGCGGTTCTGTGTGGCTCATCGCTGTAGTGCTAATCTGCGGGTGCACTATGCCCAAAACAGTGGTATACTGTTTAAAAAGAGTGACGGATTACCTTCGAAAAATGCAAGCCTAAAAATGATGGCAATTCCCAGCCGCTGGTCTTTTGTTCCGAGTAGGGTCTTTTGTGACACGGACCAGCTCTTTTGTCCCATTTCGGGCACCTTGACTCTGCGTGTAAACCCATGATCAAATGTAATTTGCGGCAAGTCGGTCACTTTTTTTTGACTGTAAACTTTCAAAAAATGGCCTCTCCACGACAGCCTCTTTGTGAATCACTGTATTGTGAGTTCTATGTATGTAGTATTTGTAGACATTTATGTGTTTGGGTGAACCATAGTGACTGATAGGCCACTTTATAAGGAATGTCTATTTTTGAATTGGAGCCTTTTGGGGTTCCCATTTATTGTCTTATGTCTCATGACTTGAATACCTGTCAATACACGTCAGTCAGACAGTAAATAATCATATTGTTTGTTCATTTTGGTTTTCATGTCTTAGGGAACCGTTCAGCCAGGCATGCAAACGCAGGGTCAGACACAGCAACAGCAGCTGCAGTGGCAGCAACAACAACAGCAGCAACAACAACAGCCGGGTGTCAGTCAACAACAGCAGTTCCGCCTCCAGCAGCCGCAGCAACCAATCATGATGCAGCAACAGGCACAGGTTGCCCAGCAACAGTTGTCACGGCAACCAGCCCCAGCACAACCTGGAATTCAAGGCATAGGAGATGAACTTACGCTTTTTGACTTGCTAAAATGAAGAAGACAACTTTTTTATTATGTGCATAAATCTTGCATAATTGTAATATATTTGCATATATTGTGCAACTGAATAATTAGCCTGTGTATTTGCATAGAGTGTGGCTACATTAAAAATAGCATTTTAAATTAAGGGCTTTATTACTTTTACATTTATATGCATGAGACGGGTACCTCATGTAAACAGCTCTCAATCTCATTTGTTCTGCTTATCACTGGCCTTAAGTCCAGTCATTCTCCGGGAGCCAACATGCATACCAAGGCACTGTCTCATGTGGAGGAAGTCTCTCCTGTCTGGACTTAACAAAGTGAGACACTTGCTCGCTCACCACCAAGGAGATGTGTTCACGTATGCTGGACCGCGACATTTAGAGCAAGAGTTCTGGGTGGGATCAAGCTGCAATAAGGCCCCGTCATAATCAAGTCACGGCCAGATTTCAACCCCGTTATCAGCCACTTCGAACGACTTGTTAGGCCATGTCCCAAACAGGCTTCCAGAGCTCTGGCTAGGTCTACTGTCTTTGCATTTCTGTGTATTACCCATGGAGTGACGACCTAGCTCTGGACCACA